CCCCCGCCGAGACCTGTGGGCCGAAGAGGCTGGAAATGCGGAGGCCGGTCTCCCTGAGCCAGGCCAGGCCAGGCCAGCGTCCGCCAGGTGGGCAGCAGCGTGTACGGGAGGCCTCTGCGGTCCGGCCGGGGCCTCGAGCAGGTGCCGACCGTCAGCCACGCTGCGGCGGCCAGCGGCGCGGTCAGCGTGCAGGTAGGCCGGCTGGATGCTCTGCGGCACCGGCAGATGCTCTTCCCGCCCTCGCTGCTCGGCTATTTCCCACCCCAGGGGGGAGGTTCAGATCCTCGCTAGGCAAAGTGTGGGCGTTAGTCCAGCAACATCACCCCGTTTGGAAGCTTATTAGACGTGCAGAATCTAGCAAAGCAGAGTCTGCATTTTAACAAGGTCACCAGGTGCCTGAGCTGGGGTGCTGCGTCCCCACGGACCTCTGAGGCTTCTTTGAACTGGAATTTTGTGGCACATGGTTTAAGTGCTCAATAAATATTAGCTTTTTTTTTTTTTTCAGTTTTTGGCTGTGCCACTCGGCCTGTGGGATCTTAGTTCCCCCACCAGGGATCAAATCTGTGCCCTCGGCAGTGAAAGCGCCGGGTCCTAACCACTGGACCGCCAGGGAACTGCCAATATGAGCTATTTTTATAGTCATCATCATTCCTTTTGATTTTACCCAGCTCATCTTCCCAAAGCTCTCCTTTAAAGAAGATCTACTAGAAAAAGCCCTTCTCCTGGGAGTCAGGAGCCCAAGACTATTGTCTCAGCTCTGCCACTGACTATGTGGCCTCCAGCGGGTCCCTGTACCCCTGAGCTTAACACTGGGTGAGCCGGACACGTGGCCCGAAGGCCCCCTCGCCCCCCACGGTCCTCTCACGCCGTGATCCCACCCTCCTGGAGCAGCCGCGGTACCTCTTCCCTCCCTCCCCCTCCACACGAAGGCCTTGGCAGGGAGAGGACTGTCCGACGCGCCCGCTGCCCCCGCCTTCCCCCCTTCTTCCCTCTGAGCCCCTCCTTCTCCTGATGCTTCTTTCTCCCTGGGGAGCCCCTGCCCCCCTGGGAACGCATGCTCCTTCCTCTGCTGGAGTTTCCCCAAATATTTGAAGGTGAGATTCTGCCAGTCTCCAGTGGCTCCAGATCCTTCCTTCTCCTGTAACTGGCCTCCTGCGGCCCGGGCAGAGGCAACGCCTGGTCCTCCTTTCATAAAAAGAACAGGGTTTAGCCTCTGGTGGTTTCCCATGAGCATTTCCAGGGAAATAGCGGGTCCGTCTCCCCAGAGCAAGCCCAGCACATTCTCAGGATGTCTGACCACTGGCCAGAGTATCCAGGGCTCAAGCAGTATTTGCTGTCTTCCTTAACAGATATGGGGGGGGGAAATGCAGCTTCTCTGTGGACCAGTGGGTCCGGCCAGCTCCGCACCCCACCCCCTCGGAGTCTCCTGCTCTCCGGTGAGAGGTACAGGGCATTTCTGAGACTCTACCTGTCCACTCCCACCACACACCCTTAATCCCCACAGTGAGAGCAACGTCGCTACTTGGGCTTCGATAGCCATCCTGTTCTGGTCGTCTTCAATTTCCCTGGGGACTTTCAGAGTGAACGAGAGCCACAGGAACCTGCCGCCCACCAAGGTGACGCAGCAGCGCCGGACGGAACCCTGCACGGCAGCTCCTACAGCAAGAGGGCAGGAGGGCGACAGGATGGCAGGGAGTGCTCCCTGGTCCACGCCTCCACCCCCACCCCCGACTCCTGGGAGCCTGGCCCTCCCGACGGCCCCATTCCAGCCTTCCTCTCACCACGGTTAACTCACTTCCCAGGCCCGCCTTTCTGCCTGACCTGGGAACCTGAGCCTCCTTCCCGGCCTCAAGAGGGGAGGCCATCTGTCCTGGGACGTTTGCTGCCTTCTCTTTGTAGGTTTGTCTGGAGATTCCACTTCCCCAGGGCTCTCCCTGCTCAAATGATAACAGTCTGCTGGGCCTTCAGGGATGAGAGCCGTTTATCTTAGAAAGATGGTCACCACCCACCCCTACTTTTTTATTTTTTATTTTTATTTTTATTTTTTTTGTGGTACGTGGGCCTCTCACTGTTGTGGCCTCTCCCGTTGCGGAGCACAGGCTCCGGACGCGCAGGCTCAGCGGCCATGGCTCACGGGCCCAGCCGCTCCGCGGCATGTGGGATCTTCCCAGACCGGGGCACGAACCCGTGTCTCCTGCATCGGCAGGCGGACTCTCAACCACTGCGCCACCAGGGAAGCCCCCCCCCTACTTTTTTAAACAAAAGTCAAACAATTTATTAAAATAGCTGAACTTGAAGTGTTGCTAAGTGCTAAGCAATTTGGTGCCTTTCTTACTTCTTGTAAAGGGCGTCCTTAATTTATCCCAATCCTTAATCTCATTCACAGACCTTGATTAGAACGTGATTCTGGGACTTCCCTGGTGGCTCAGTGGTTAAGAATCCATCTGCCAATGCAGGGGACACAGGTTCGAGCCCTGGTCCGGGAAGATCCCACATGCCGCGGAGCAACTAAGCCTGTGCACCGCAACTACTGAGCCCGCGCTCTAGAGCCCATGCTCCGCAACAAAAAAAGAACATGATTCTGTTAACTCAGAGTAAAAAAAAAAAATCCTTTTGTGAGTGGTGGGCTGCTGGAATTCAGGCTGGCTCAGGCTCAAAAGCACTTGTGGGCTGCTTTTTCCCTCTTAGTGTCTTTTCTCCGGAGAGAATGTGTTTTTCTGATTGTTTCTAAATGATCAGAGGAAAGGCTCTGATATACCTTGTCTTCCACTCTTGGTCATTTGTCTGCCTAGTCAGGACACAAAAGGAAAGGAATCGTAGTCATTTCTATGCTCCCAAGGCTATACTATTCTCTAATTTCCCCATTTGCATGGTTCCCTGCCAGTTTAGTATTTTGGTAGAGGTTACCATGCTTCCCTCCCTTAACCATTTAGCTTTTTGATAAGAGTTACAAAAACGGTACTTATATATGGTAGGAAGGCTTCAACTTTCCTTACCTGGTTTCCTTAAGTCAGATAGGTCATCGAGATACAAACCACTACATGTAACAGAAATAGGCTTCTTTTTTCTAGAACATAAATACATGGATACATATACTGACTGAATAAAAGGCTCTACAACTATAGCCGGGGGAATTCACCCTCAAGGGAACAGCCGTGTTCCCTCTGCCCCTCCTGTGCGGTTTACCTGTCACACCAGCGGGAGCGCTGCCCTCGCTCAGCCCTGAGTTTGACAGGCTCCTGGGAGACCGGGAGAGAAAGAGGAGTTGGGGTGCTGAGGACCCGCACAGCGACTGGGCCCCTCCCCCCAGCTCTCCAGCCTTGAGCTAAGCTCCTCTGTGACGTTGCTCTGTGTCCTGCCACCCGTCCCATCATCAGGGCTACACCCGGCCAGGACTTACCTGTGGGCGGTGCTTACCTGAGAAGCACGGAACTGCCCCCCAGCACGCCCTCCCTCTACCCCGTCCCTCCCGCCCTCGGTGGTTGGCCCCCGACTCTCATTCCCTCTCTCCTTCTGACTTTGTCACCCCTGCAGTTACCCTTTTTCACTTCTGCGACGTTGCCCCTTCTCCCGCTCTCCTGGACCAGTCCCGTCACCGTAAAAAGGACGTCTGCTATCTTCCGGTGGGTAAAAAAAGCAAAAAGCAAATCCCTCCCTGAATTCATGATCTCTCCAAATCCTGCCCCGTCCCTCTGCAGCCCTCAAGAGCAACACCCCTGGAAAGCTGTGTCGTCATCATCAGTCTCACTTCGCCGCCATTTCCTCCTGCATCTCACTCAGCCCCTTCCTCCCTGAGACACCTTTCCCGGGCAGCGCTCGCCAGCCTGGCTTTCCTTCCCTGGTTCTTTCCCTGGCTTCTCCTCTTCCCAGCCAGTGACTGTCGAGCGTCCCAGGGTTCTGACCCAGTCCCGTGGCTTTAAGTGCTGTGTACATTACAAGCGTGTGCATACACGTGTGTACATACATACACATATAAGGTGTGTGTATATCTACATATATCCTTTCATATATACATACGTTTCGTATATACGTGCACGCGCACACACAGACACACTCACACACATGCACACACTGAGGACTCCTAGGGCTCATCTTACCTCCAGCTTTGGCCTCTGTCCTGAGCTCCAAATTACCTGACTCTTCCACCTCCTTTCGGATAACAGGTATCTCAATTTTAACAGAGCCGCATAGAATTACAGAGTCTTCCTATGTCCCAAGTCTTTTCCTCCCCAAGTTTTCCCCATCTCAGTAAACAGCACCACCATTTTTCCAGCTACTCATGGGAAAAATCCTCAATGCCTCTCTCTCCTTAACCCTCCATGTTCAATCTACTCAGTCCTGTTATCTCTTCCTCCAAAATGCATCCGGAATACGACCCTTTCTCTCCATCTCTGCTGCTACAACCCGAGTCCACACCACCATCATCTGCAGCCTGGACCACTGCCACCTCCTCTCCACCCTTGTTCTCCTGCAACCTTCCCTCCACGCCGCAAAGAGGTGGCAGACCGAGTGATATCCCTTCGCGAACTCCAGACCACAGCCTCCTGGGTCCTGTCTGACTGGCCATCTGTCTCTTTGACTCTGTCTCCCGTCGCCCCCCTCCCCGCCCCTCCTCCCCCTTGGGGGAGGGGGCATCCCTCGGACAAACCAAGCTGTTTCTCAACTCAGGCCTTTGCATTTGGTCTTCTTAGAACTTTCCTCCGGAGACTTTCCGAGAGCCGACCCCTCCCAATACCCACATCGGAGCTCAGACGTTCTTTCTCCGGCCTCCAGTCATCGTGGCTAAAGTCACCTCTCGCCACCTCTCCCGTCCTCCCGTTGCGCTACCACCTATTCTATTTTCTTAGCATTTCTTTC